CTCCAAAAACAAATCCAAATTCCACTATACTTGCCATCAGACTTAAATTGAGTTCATGACTAATCTCTTGAAAAACATTTTCAGTGCCCAGTTTCCATTCGGTATGGGCATATTCCCAATCATATGGCAAATGCCCTTCCAAGCTCATCTCTCCATTGTGCATGAGGTCCTGCTTTCTACTCTGGGTAGTATCCATTTTGCAAATGAAGAGCGCAAAGCAACGTAGTGGCCTTTTATCCACATTACTTGGGTCAGTAACCTAGTTCGTCGCTACTTGAACCCGGCTGGCCCTCAGCCAGAACAATCAACATGACATAACAACAGCCTGGCACATGCAAACAATTCTGTATAGCTTATAAAGTGTCAGAAAGCTGAAATAAAAAAGACTAAAGACATACAAAAACCACAAATACACTAAACACAGCAAAAAATAAATATACATATATCGCACGGAAAACCTCTGGTAGTCGATTTGTTCCTCGTGTGTATATAAAACAAAAGACAAAACACATTTATTACAGTTCTTAAAACGCTTTTTCAAATAACACCACCTAAAGTGGAATCTGTGTGAAATCTGGTTTCAATATAGATACAAGAGTTTAAAAAAAAAAATAATAATAATGCCAGCACCAGCCTGTGCCTCATTTCTTAGCGTTAGGCCTCATGATAGTAAAATGATGATAGTGCGGGGCAAACAGAGTAATTATCCAAGTTATATATTTAAATCACACTCACTTAGCAAGTGCGAAGGGCTTCCCAAGCCCCTAAAGTTACCCTTTCTGGTTATTTTATTTACCTGAAGCTTCCACTCACGGTAAGCAACACGGCCTTTAAATGTCTGCTGGTTGCTAGTTAGCCAGTGCTAACCAAGGCCAACAACAACCACACAATGGTTAACCACTTTAACCCATCAAACCGCGCAATACGCAAACCACCATCCCCTCCTTTGTATTACGAGATCCACGGTAGTTGATATATGCCGATCATTTATCTTTTATTGTTCCGAATAAATACGTTTGTTTGAATGCTAGCTTTGCTAACGGCCTACAACACCTTCGACCTGACTGTCGTCAACTAAAGCAGCGACGTCTGACTAACCTTTTTATGATAACTTTTCGTTGACGCCTCGGTCCGACAGTTTCTTTCACTTTGTCCATAATTTCCAGTTTAACTGACGATTATTTTTCACAAAAACGACGACGATACAGTCTATGCAGCAAAGTAGGCCTTTTCTGGTTTTGGTAGGAGCTCTGTGATTGGTCCGTCTCAGGGAACAGGAAAAAGGAGGGGGTTTGGTTTGTGCAGGGGCGTTGCTTGGCAACAATACTACAGCCTATGGAGCCAGTGCAGAGCTCATTACGTAATTTGTTTATCAAGACGTTTTTCCATGTTAACAATATGTTGTTATGTAATTAGAAGTGCACATATCAAGTTTCTTTAAGTAAAAGTTTACTTAGCTTACCTTACTAAGTGATCTTTAAACTTTAATGATCTTCAGTAACTTTGTGAGGTCAATAAGAATTAGGTCAGTAAATAGCAGTAAATTTGAGGACCTGTAGGTG